TTTATAACACTTGCAACAGCTTGTTATTGATTGTGGCTTTGATTCTTAATCAATATTGCCTGCACAGTTTCCTAATGGTGAGGAGCAGGAGCAGAGTCCTCTCCGTTCCTTAGAGGGTTTTTCTGACTATGGTGTGCTCCTTTTATATGGAAATAAAGCAAGACTATTATTCAGTCTGGTTCAGGGCAGGTTACTTTAGATTCCTGTACCCCGACTCTTGCCTAGATGGCCAAAGATTGATAGACATATGTGTGCACTGGGTTTCCCAGGGTTGCTGATCAGATAAAACCATTAGAGGCTGCCTGTAATAATAAGGGTTGCTCTTGAAATGATCTTGTGGTTGATAAAAAGGAATGTAATCTTCATTATCCACCAAGCCAGAGGGCTGCCAGGAAGCTCTTCCAAATTCAAAATGGTGGACCGAAAGGTGCTGAGCCTTATCCCAGGGCTTAGGGTAGTTGGGCACAGAAAGGTGGGACGTGTTTGAGCATCCAAAGTGTGACAAGCCATGTTTATGAGTTGTGAAAGAGGATGAGAGGGGGGTGAGAATCTAAAAGGGGTTTTTCCCTCTTTTTTGTCCCTTCTCTCACTGTTTTCCTCCTCCAAGATTTTCAGTCTGGTTTGATCATAATTGATAAGATTATATGTATCAAGGATAAATGAAAGACAAATCAGATATTTACAAAACAAGAAAAGCTAAAGGTAACAAGAAAAAGAGAGCTTTTTATTTTGGAAAATAATAATAATGGGGCAATGAAAGGAATTGCAAAGTGAGATTCATTTTTTTCTCGTGTAGTTTAAGGAAAAGAGACAGGCATTATTTAAAAAATGGGTTTTATGTTTTCTTGTTTAAAATAGTGCCGTCTGGCACTATTTTTCCCCTGCTGTGCCCTCATTTGCCTCCATTTTGAGATTCTTGGAAATTCATTTTAACATGCATTAATTAGGAAGCAAAAGATTCAGTTACTTTTTCGCAGAAGGATGATTCTGCTGTAACATTTCTCCAGACTTCCAGCCACAATGCTTTACTATAGCTAGATCCCTCTGCTTAGTGACTCTCGTTAGCAATCTTTACACAACGCACATTAAAAAGGGATAGGGCTTTGATCTCGTGCCTCTGGGTGCCATTTTGACCTTTGTTTTCCCCCACACCTCCCTCCCACAGTTACTCCAGTGAGTAATTAATAAAACAACACTACAAGGAAGACTGGCTGACATACAAATATTACAGAGACCACTGATTCAACAGTAGGAGTTGGTAGTTTGGAAGAAATAGAACAGGGATATTTTAGGGCTATTATTCTGACTTAATGTGACTGAGTAGACATCATTTCACTGGGATTCTCTGTTGGTCAACAGTACTAAGTATCTAGGGGTGCAGATAACTAACAATCTAAACTGGTTTCTGCACGTGTCATCCTTAGTGAAGCGTGCAAACCAGAGCCTGTATTTCCTGCGTTGGATGAGGAGAGCACATCTTTCTCCTTCTGTCCTGGCCACTTTTTTCAGAGGCACAATTGAGAGCGTTTTAACAAACTGCATCACTGTTTGGTTTGGTGGCTGCAGTGCCTCAGAGAGAAAGTCTATACCGAGAGTGGTAAGGACAGCCGAGAAGATTATAGGAAGCTCGCTTCCTGTCATTCAGGATACTGCTTACAAGCTCTGTGTGCTTAGAGCTCAAAGCATTGTTAATGTTGTGGTTAGCCAGCAGCAGGTGCAGACAGTGGAGGAGAGCAAAGATTTGGAGGAGGGGCCGGGACCATCAGGGAGTGGACTGCTGCCTTCAGAGATGGTGGAGGCTGGCAGCAGTGATGAGGAGGTTTCAGAAGAACCTGTGCTCAGTGCACGTGATCGCAGGATGCTTCGTAGGAGGGAACAGCTTAAGCTGCATAGACAACTCGGGAGTAAGGAGGCAATGTAATGGCCCCTCCCTCTAGGGAATATAAGCTTGGTTGCAAACGTTTTTTGCCTTTGCAAAAGGCAAACGTTTGAAGGAGTTAGTGTGATGTTTACAGACTCTGATTTATTAGACTAATTGGCTGGAAGCCATCTGTTATCTACAAAGAGGGTTATTTGTGGAATAAAGCCATGAACGTTTCAGATTTGGAGTTTATCTGTGTTTGCTTTCGGAAACTTCAGCTGGGACAGAACAGTTAGGGACCCCACACACCCACTTCACAGTCTGCTTCTGCTGCTCCCCTCTGGGGGGAGGTTTCAAAGTCTTCCTAGCAGGACTACCAGATTCTGTAACAGCTTTGTTCCCTATACCATCCATCTGGTAAACTCGCAAGATTCGTTTTTTTAACTGTGTACATGTATACATCCAAACTAGACTGTGTTGTTTCTCTGTATTATATAATATATGTGGGTATATCCATAATTTTGTGTTTATTTATTTATTTATTTATTTATTCTGTCATGGCTATGTAGTGTATACTGGAGGTGGTAACCCCTTGAGAGCTGTATGCAATGGAATTTTATTTTAATGTATGCCAATTAGTGCACATTCAAAGTGACAATAAAGCTATTCTAAGTCTAAGTTCTAAGTCTTAACCAGGAGCCCTAGTCGCACAGTGGCTAAAATGCTGTATTGCAGGCTAACTCTGCCGATTGCCAGGAATTCGATCCTGACCGACTCAAGGTTGATTCAACCTTTCATCCTTCTGAGGTCAGTAAAATGAGGACCCAGATGGTTAGGGGCAATATGCTGACATTTGTAAACTGTTCAGAGTGTGCCGTAAAGCACTATGGAGCAGTATATAAGCCTAAGTGCTATTGCTATTAGCTTGCTTCCTTGAGTTTCTGTAAACTCATGCTGGTATCACTAGCATCTAGCTACTCTTATCTTCTGTCAGCTTTTTAAAAAATTGTTTTGGACATAGATGTGTCCCAAACATTAAGGTCTTAGCTTCATTACACAACACTGGCTTTTAAAGTTGTTGATGATAAGCAATACATTCCTTCTATCAATGGACCCATAGAGTAATTTTAACATCTCCTGGTAAGAGAATGCCATAAAAAAGATCTTGAGAATGCTTATAAGATCTAAGCTACCCTGGGAAGGCCAAAAGCATTTGATTGGAGGCACTACGAATATAATACTAATTTAGCGTTTTACAATTTTGTTTTGTTTAATGTCCTTTGCCGATGTGTTTTTGTTTTGGTTCATCTCCAGCATACATATTGTCTGTAAGAGGTCTGCTCTCCTTTTCAACCAATTCAAACTGGTTTGTGCGATACAAGAAAAATGTATGGCTTTTATTTGTCAGGAACAGATTAATGGGCTTCTGTGGCCTGACTCACACACTTTCAGTTTCGAGCAGCAGGCCCTCAAATATTTGCGCAGTGTTAGCCCTTCGTGCTGTGTTTGTTGTGTTAATTGTATAAGGCTACTAACAAGAGTCCATGGAGGAAACTGTTAGGCCTTTTTCTTACAGCCATGAGATTTTAGCCTGCTGTGTGCTGGTTCATAAGCCTCTTCCCAGCCTTATTAGCTTTGTGCATTTGCATGTGCTTGGTCCTATTTACCCAAATGAGAAGGCAGGAGCCAGCAGCTGCCCATAAGGGATATTATGCCCCATCATAGCTAGCGCCTTAGTATTCTGTTTAGTTATTCATCCCCAGGAAAGATCAGTTAAACTTTCAACCAATTAGTGCAAATACACACAAGGGGAAAGCTGTTTTCATAGGGATTCTGCTTAAATCAAAGCAGACTTTCTTTCTGTGGAAATTCACTGAGAGAAATAAAAGAAGGAAACCAAGCATGGAACTAAGAATGGGCTCTTTTGACATAATCTTTCTATTCCCAGTTGCCGCTAGGCCACCGTTTATAAATTATGCCTTGTTGAACAATATAGGAACAAGGCAGAATTAGTCTTCGGGAGGAGCAAAATATGTATGGTTTGTCTGTTTCTAGTTTGTTTTGTTTTCCTCCTTTCTTAAAGCTCACCTATTCAACACATTAACCAGAGATTTACAAATCAACCATGTACCCTTGTCCACTGGTCATACTATGCAACAAATGCAATCAGTATGGCAAAAACGTGGTTTTCTATGGTTTCTAATAATAGTTTTCTGCCCTACAGCAAATCGTAGTTTCCTTGCTGATTTTTCTGCATCTCAGATTAAGAGAACAATAGTCAATTTGGGTGGTTTTTTTGTGCACCCCGCCCCTTTGCTATAGTGGTTAAGGCACCAAGTTAGAAACTCACCAGGTGAGTTCTAGACCTGCCTAAGGCACGAAACCAGCGGGGTGACCTTAAGCCAGCTATGAATTCTGGGAGTCGAAGTCCACAAGTCTTAAAGTTGCCAAGTTTGGAGACTTCTGTCATAGATACACACAAAGTGATTTGCTTCAGTGAAGTTATTTGCACTGCAGAGACAGCAGGATTTACTTTGCTGAAGGAAAGAAGCCACTCAATTTGTTTCAATGCGGCAACCCAGTTGGCCTTAAACTGTTTGGGGCCAGGATTGAGAGAAAAGGCTTTTCTTGGCCTCAGCACTGGTCAAAGTGGTTCAGATTGAATGGCCTCAAAATGTTCTGACACGGCTCCCAAACACAACAATCACACTTTTTAAAAACTAACATTCCCTTTATTAGGAACACCAGCAACCCTGGCCAAGAGTCAGAGTCTCTCTCTCTCTCTCTCTCTCTCTCCAAACTTCGTCAGCCAGCTATGAATTCTGGGAGTTGAAGTCCACAAATCTTAAAGTTGCCAAGTTTGGGGACCCTTGATCTATGATAAGTCCCGTTCCCTGGGACAACAATGAATTGTTTGCTGTGAATGAATGCAAAACAAAACCAAAGCCTGCTATTGGGTAAATTATTCAATATTCCATCAAGATGAAATATAAAGTTGATTTTCTTTCTGATAATGAAATAAAGCAAAGTATGATAATGTGACCTAAGATCAATATAGAAAGGAACACTGGCATGACTGTGATCAAATCTGGTAAAAGACTTTCTGTAAAGTGCTTGTATTCTTACTGTGTTCCTTCAGTTTGCCAGGAAGCAGTTTGGGAGGCTTTCCAGATCTTTTTGGATCGGATTCCAGGTACAACTGAATATCAGAACTGGGTGACAGCTTGTCAAAGAGAAACTTTCTATATATTTGACATTGGGAAAAATTTTAGTAATTCCCAAGAACACCTGGAGATAATTCAAAGGGTAAGACTTATAATCTGCTTTTATGTAGAAGTATCTATACATAGTAGCAATGCATAGAAATATTAACAAACCAAGAAAATAAGGACTTGAACTAATAATTGAATCATGGCTGACATGATAATGCATTGTTATCTTCCAATTATTGGTTAGTTAGCTCCTAAATAATCCTCTTCTTTCTTTTAACTTTTTTTTTGCAGCGAGTAAAGCATAGAACATTCCAGGATAGGTAAGTAATCAAAAAAGAAGACTTCATATATATGTGTGTGAAAGTAAATATGTGCTTAGTCTATGTTTAAATCTATTCTATGACAATCAAGAGGAATGAAGAAAATTATCATTGCCTCTCATTCATGAGTGATATACCTAACTGTTAACGTATCAGGATCATTAATGAAGAATTTACTCTACAATCCTATCCAGTTTGCAAAGACATTTGAAGTAATCAATCTCATATCTGATCAACCTATGCAAAATTTTGCCCAAATTTTTGCAAAATTGTATATCAAGTTTTATTATACAGGCACTTAAAAAATTGTAGTAGCCCATAAGATGAAGGGCTGCAAGTCTTAAACCTCTCGTCCCCCAAACCCCTGAGGTCCACATCCTTATCTCTGTCTCCTGTCGTGATGTAGTGACCCTATAGTTCTTGCTGGCATCCTCTATCTTTCAGGAGTTGCTTCTATCTGGAGTTCTTCTCCAGTCGCTAAATCATGTCCAGCTCTTTGCAGCCCATGGACCAGAGCCTGCTAGCCACCCCACAATCCTCCACTGTCCCACACAAAGGTTACCCAAATTCCTGTTGATTGCATGGATGATTCCAACCCCTTAACCTCCGTGCATAAGAGAAATAGAAATAATCTTGGGAAAACAGGGAAAGAGACTAAGGGAATGGTCAGATTAAAGACATCTTAACTAGCAGCAAGATTGTGGGTGGGGCAAAAGAAGGTACCCTCCCAAACAGATCAAATTTAAACCAGAGTCCTTTCTATTAGGGATCTTTGATAAACAACTACCAAAAAAGTGAAATATATATAATAATACATATTTTGACAGCGGCCAGATTGGCTTTTGCACAATGTTAGAAACAGCCTCATGTTCCACCAGAGTTGATGATTATTCAAAAAATTTCAAGTTGTGCAGAAATGGAAAAATTAACCTTGGCATTAAAAGATAAAAACACTTCAATATATTACGACAGCTGGAACTGCTGGTACAAATGGATAGAGCAAAGATAGATTTCACACTAAAAGGCAAAAGAAGATATGATAGAATTGTAGTAGTGATATACAGATATATGTAAAGATTAATTGTGTATATGGCATAAAATAAGGATAAAAAGGAGGTCTCACAAACTGTTGAAGATGAAAATGTTTTTAATTGTTTTCTATTTTTTTCTTTCTGCTCTTTTTTTGCTTATTTTCTTTTTCTCTCTTACATTTATGTATGTGTTATTGGTCTATTTTAATTGTAAAATCAATAAAGAGTATTTTTTTAAAAAGAAGGTACCCTCCCTAGTTTCTTAGGCTATAAAGAGAATTAGGGGTGACTTTCAGACTTGCAAGATTGATGTCAGCCTTGCAAGCTGAACTAGATGGAAAGTATGCCCAGATGAGCTAATTCTTATTTTATTATAAGGTTACATTGATAGAAACTCACAAATCTGAAAGCCTACCATTTTCAAAGAAAGAACATTTTGCTCCAAGAGAAAAGGAGACATTTAGATGACCTGCCTTTGTATAGAACCCATGCCATGCAGGATGAAGGATGAATAGAGTAGAATAACAGAGTTGGAAGGGACCTTGGAGGTCTTCTAGTCCAACCCCCTCTTAGGCAGGAAACCCTACGCCATTTCAGACAAATGGTTATTCAAGCTCTTCTTAAAAACTTCCAGTGTTGGAACATTTTCAATTTCTGGAGGCAAGTTGTTTCACTCATTAATTGTTCTGTCAGGAAATTTCACCTTAATTCTAGGTTGCTTCTCTCCTTGATTAGTTTCCACCCATTGCTTCTTGTCCTGCCTTCAGGTGATTTGGAGAATAGCTTGACTCCTTTTTCTTTGTGGCAGCCCCTGAGATATTGGAACACTGCTATCATGGCACCCCTGGGCCTTTTTTCATTAAACTAGACATACCCAATTCCAGCAACTCTTCTTTATATGTTTTAGCCTCCAGTCCCCTAATGAAGTTTCCATATCTGAGATAACATAGGGGAAGAGACATGTTACTCTATGGGGCTAAAAAAAAACCAGAAATCTAGTAGTTCATTATTAATACATGATAGCCTATAAAGGACAATGACACTGCATTTTTTTCAAGCACTGGATGGCAGGCTGATACCTGCATACAGCTTGAAGTGGATTTTCATAAGCAACAAGAGACAACAGGCCAATGATGCTAACATGGGAACCAGGTCCTGCAACAAATCCCTATTTCTGCCTTGCCCCACATCTTTCCCAAGAGCACCACCATAAACCCTAAGATTCACACACATACAAGATTAGGTCCTTCTTCTACTGTGATATATGCCACCATCTGCTACTAATGCCCCTTTGGGTTATACCTGGGATAAATGGGGAAAAATATTTTTTTTAAATAATGCTGACAAACTTGAAAAGACTCAAAACAAAGATAAATGTTAGAGTTTATTTTATAGTGGAAATCAAATTAATTTTTTTTTTTCATTTTACCAATGAGTGAAAAATTGCTGAAGTCATATTTAGTAACTTTTCAGGCAATCTCAATGAACATGACAGTTTTTTTTAACATGTTATTATAGTTAATTAATCATGTATTTGTAATCTAACTCATGTATTTGTAACCTGCACCTGCATTTGTCTCTCCTTCCTTAACCCAATTTAAATTCTATATCAGTCTGGTTATTCTGTGCTTCTGATGAAATGAGCTATGAAAGCATACGCCTTTTAATTGTCAAGAAAGGTGCAATCAGACCCCGTCTGATGTCTGAGATGAATGCATCTATATCAGGGGTGTCAAACTCAAGGTCCATGGGCCACATCCGGCCTGCAGGGTGCTGAGATCTGGTCCATGGGGCCACCCTGGAAACAGCAAAGGACCAGACCATGATGCCTCTGCCAGCAAAAATGGAGCTCAGGGGGGCCATGTGTGCCCCCAGGCCCCATTTTCCACTGTAATGGCCTTCTGCAGTCCTCTGACAGAACGAATGGAGCTTGGGGAGGCTGTGTAAGGGCTGCAGGAGACTGTCATGGCCAAAAATGGGGCTCAGGGAGGTTGCAGCTTCCTCGAGTTCTGTTTTCACTGGCAGAGGGTTGCAGGAGGCTGTCGTGGCCAAAAAGGGCACCTGGGGGGGGTCTACACACAGTCGTTGTCCCCCCACCAAGCTCCATTTTCATTGCCAGAGAGCTAGCAAAATAAAACAAAAAGAAAAGAAAAGAAATGTTTCCCCTTTTGTATTTAATCATGCAAGAAGGGACAGGAAAGGAGAAAGGGAAAGAGGAAAGACAAAGAAAAAGAAGTCAAGATGGGAAGAGAACAAGGAAGGAAAAATAAAGAGGGAAGGAAGAAGAAAGGGGAAGGAAGGAAGGAAGGAAGGAAGGAAGGAAGGAAGGAAGGAAGGA